ATCACTTGAGGTTGTCAGACCAGCCTGGCCAATATGGTGAAACCCTGTCTCTGCAAAAAACACAAAAATGAGCTGGGCATGGTGGCACGCGCCTATAGTGCCAGCTACTTGGGAGGCTGAGAGAGAATTGCTTGAACCTGGGAGGCTGATGTTGCAGTGAGCTGAGACTGCGCCACTGAACTCCAGACTGAGCAACAGAGTAAGACTCCATCTCAAAAAAAAAAAAAAAAAAACAAAAAACAAAGAAAGAAAGAAAAAAGAAAGTAAGTTCTAAGCAATCAAGTACCCAAGTAATAAATTACCCAAAGTCAAACAGTCAGCAAAGGAGTCAGAATTCAGACCACAGTAGCTATTTTTTTCTTTTTTTTTTTCCAAACCACAATAGATATTATTCAAACTAGAGTCACTTCCATATTTTTCTATTTAGTGATAATGTTTAAATTGAGCTAAGAATGTCTAACACAGTATCTGAGAAGCTAGAGATTTCAAAAGTCGTCTCTTCTGCCATCAAACATTCAGTCAAGACATGGTTATTTTAGCAGCATCTTCTTTTTTCTTTTTGTATTGCTTTCGTTTTGGAAACGGAGTTTTACTCCTGTAGCACAGGTTGGAGTGCAGTGGTGCAATCTCGGCTCACTGCAACCTCCACCTCCCAGGTTCAAACGATTCTCCTGCCTCAGTCTCCCAAGTAGCTGGGATTACAGGCACGTGCCACCTCACCCAGCTAATTTTTGTAATATTAGTAGAAACTGGGTTTCACATGTTGGCCAGGCTGATCTCAAACTCCTGATCCCAGGATCCACTTGCCTTGGCCTCCCAAAGTGCTGAGATTAAACACGTAAACCACTGCGCCCGGCCTCTTTTTCTGAATATAAGTGAATTTTTTTTAATCTATCATCTTTGAAAGTAGACTAAGTCCCAAGTTGGCAAAGTTCTGAACAAGCTGCCAACCTGGGCTGCTGGTCTGTAGCTCATCTAGCTCAAGGGAAAGCTAAGAAAACAATCCCGTCCTTTTAAAAGGATTGGGAAAAGCGGAGTATAGACGGGACCACAGAGCACCCTTAAATGATGAACTGTTATGACACCTAAGTCACCCCTGTATTTGGCAAGTTTCCATGAAAGGGTGGTTCAGAATTACTCTAAATTATGTTTTTGGGTTTTTTCGAAAAGGCCATCTCAGAATGAATTTTTTTTCTTTTTTTTAAGAGATGGTCATACTGTTGCCCACGCTGACCTCAAAACTGCTGGGCTCAAGTGGGGTCCTCCCACGTGGGATTCTAGGTGTACACCCCCACACCACTTACAAACAAACAGGCTGGGTGAGGTGGCTCATGTCTGTAATCCCAGCACTTTGGGAGGCTGAGAAGGGCGGATCGCTTGAGGTTAGGAGTTCAAGACCAGCCTGTCCAATATGGTGAAACCCTGTCTCCACTAAAAATACAAAATAAATTAACGGAGCATAGTGGTGTGCACCTCTAATCTCAGCTACTTGGGAGACGGAGGTAGGAGAATCGCTTGAACCTGGGAGGAGGCTGCAGTGAGCCAAGATTGCACCACTGCACTCCAGCCTGGGCAACAGAGCAGACCGTCTCAAAAAACAAAACAGAAAACCTTTATGAGTGTTCTTCAGTGGCTACCAGGTTTGCTTTTTTTTTTTTTTGGCATTTTGTTGTTAGGTTAGGAGGCTATCAAGAAATTTGAAGAAAGCTAAATAGATCCCTTCCCTTCTCCTGTTCTCAAACTTACAGTATTTCTAATAATCAAGGGAGTTAAGTGGCTTTTAAAATAAGATTACTCCTCACAACGTTTTTTCCTTCCACTTACCTCACATGTGTAATCCCAAAGAATCTTTTACTTTTTTTCTTTTTTGAGACAGAGTCTCACTCTGTCGCCCAGGCTGGAGTACAGTGGCATGATTTTGGCTCACTGCAACCTCCACCTCCCAGATTTAAGCAATCTCTGCCTCAGCCTCCTGAGTAGCTGAGATTACAGGCACTGCCACCACACCTGGCTAATTTTTTTTTTTTTTTTTTTTTTTTTTTAAGTAGACGGGGTTTCACCGCCTTGGCCAGCCTGGTCTTATACTGCCGACCTCATGATCCACTTACCTCGGCCTCCCAAAGTGCTGAGATTACAGGCATCAGCCACCACACCTGGCCCAATCTTTTCAATTTTAGGGTGAAAAATTTCCGTATTTTTGTTCATTTGTATTTCCATTCATTATTTACAAAGCATTTAATTGTGCTCTATGCTTTAGAATCCAATGGTCAGTAAGACATGTTTTGGGAGCTATCTGGTGGGAAAGATGGACAAGTCACCAGGAAGTGACAGACCTTGGTAAATGCCATAGGAATATCCCAGGGTTGGAGATCCTAGCATCTCCAACATGGGGCTCAGAACACCAGACCCGGGCTGGCTACATTAAGAGTCTCTCAATGAGGTGGTAAAATCAGGGGCTATTTTGTTTATTCAGCTATCTGGAGTGATAAGCACAGCGCCTGACCCAAAGCATAGGGAGCCCCGAGGCGAGATGGGACAGCTGAAGGGGAAATCACTTTTAAGGGAAGATGTTACATGAGGTGAGATTGGAGTTCATCAGGCCAGATTATGAGGGCCTCGGATACCATACAAGGGATATGATATTTCAGAGCAATTCCTCAGGCAGCTGAGTGGATTGGAAATGAGACTTGCAGTAGTAACTCTAGGTAACCTAAAATAGTGGCAGTGAGGCTGGAAAGAAGTGGGGCAGGAGGAAGTCATCAGCTAGCAACAGGTGGCTGCTGACAGCAGCGGGAGAAATCACCCAGGAAGAATGGAGACACCGGGGAAACTAATTATAGATAAAACAGGATCAAGTTTGTCTCTTCACAAGACAGGGTGTCACTCTGTTGCCCAGGCTGGAGTATAGTGCTGCCCTCACACCTCACTGCAGCCTTGAACTCCTGGGCCCAAGTGATCCTCCCCCCTCAGCCTCTTGAGTAGCTAGAACTACAGGTATGCCCTACATCCAGGCAATTTTTTCAAATTTTTGTTGAGAAGGGGTCTTCTGGCTGGGCAGGGTGGTTCATGCCTATAATGCCAACACTTTAGGAAGCCGAGAAGGGTGGATCACTTGAAACCAGGAGTTGAAGACTAGCCTCGCCAACATGGTGAAACCCCATCTCTATGAAAAATAGAAAAACTAGCCAGGCACCACAGGCCGAGGCATGAGAATCACTTGAACGGATGTGGGAGGCACTCCAGCCTGGGCAACAGAGAGAAGAAAAGAGACGTGTCTTCTATGTGTCCAAGAAGTTCTGGAACTCCTTGCCTCAGGTGACCCTCCACGCCTTGGCATACCCAGTGCTGAGGATTACAGATGAACGTGGCACCTGGCTTAAATTCTGGTAGAGGCCCGACTCCCTGTCCTGAGTCGCGTCTCCCATGGCCTCTGGCTCTAGCCCAAGCTTGTCCAACCCGCAGCCCAGGATGGCTTTGAAAGTGGCCCAACACAAATTCACAGGCTTTCTTAAAACACTTATGAGATTTTTCTGCATTTTTTTTTTTTTTAGCTCATCAGCTATTATTAGTATTAGTGATTTTATGTGTGGCCCAAGGAAGCCAAAAGATTGGATACTCCTGCTCTACCCAGTTCATTTCAGCCTTCCTGTGTCAATCTGCTCTTCAACTCAGCCTTTCCAACACACCCAGTCCTGCTTACCTGAGCAGTCTGTGGCAGGAGCTTAGACGGCTAGGGCATACCCTCTCCAAAGCATTACTTTTACTATTAATAACTTTGGAGATAGCAAAGAGAATTTTACGTTAGAGCAAAATCATAAATTCCCATAGATCTGATCTGATTTGTCTACTTCAGATCATCAGTGACGGAGAATACTAGGTATTCTCAACTATCACATTCTGCTACCAATTAACTGCTTCTTACAGTGCTAACGTACATATTCTGTAACCTTAACACAGCTAGTTTCTCTAACAAGGCTTCATGATTCGCACATCAGCAACATGACCACTGAGCTCCTCTCTCTCACGAACCTGTTTTTTTTTTTTTTTTGAGACGGAGTTTCACTCGTTACCCAGGCTGGAGTGCAATGGCGCGATCTCGGCTCACCGCAACCTCCGCCTCCTGGGTTCAGGCAATTCTCCTGCCTCAGCCTCCTGAGCAGCTGGGATTACAGGCACGCGCCACCATGCCCAACTAATTTTTTGTATTTTTAGTAGAGACGGGGTTTCACCATGTTGACCAGGATGGTCTCGATCTCTTAACCTCGTGATCCACCCGCCTCGGCCTCCCAAAGTGCTGGGATTACAGGCTTGAGCCACCGCGCCCGGCCATCACGAACCTGTTTTAACCGGCCTTCCAGGTGACTGCTATCTCCCAAAGCTGGACCACCACTCCTCAGGTACTGACACTACAGCAGAAGTTTTCTTCACATGGAATCTGAGGCAAATGTGCATTCTCCTGGCAGAGAAGCGGCTCTAGACATCATCAAAGGGACATTAACAAGAAAAACCCCACAGCTTTAAAGTCATCAAATTCAGCAGAGCTCACTTCTGCAAACATACACCAAGCCAAAGTTTTCTCCAAGCCCTTTAATATTCACTTAAACAGTTGAGGCACAAGCAATAATAAAACTGCAACTTTTAACGTTACAAAAAGATTCCATATGTTATTTGCATGATATAACAATTTTCTCAATCTCTTCTGCAGTAACATCTCATTAACACTCTGGTCCACAGGTTGATTTAATCAAGTCAGGATGGCAGGCAGAAAGATGGTCAAATAAACCAAACATTTACTGACTGCCTACTATGCACGCTCTACTAGGTTTTACACACTTCACATAAGAACCAAGTTCTAGTTATCAGTCAACAGGTCAGCATTGCCACAGCCAGTAAGTCTGTTTTAAATGTCCTTTAAGTACAAACTGTGAAACAAAACAATGTATCTTTGCCCAAAGAAGCATGTCAACTGTTGCACTAATACATTATTTTCCATTTCCAAAGTTTTCTTGTAAGTGTGCAACATTAGCACATGGAAACATTCAAGCTGTTTATTACTCCACTGAAATCTGGTTTTTTTTTTTCCCGTTCTCACCTGCTGAGAACCATTTGGCCAGCATCACGACGATGACCTGATTCTATCACTCTGTAAAACTTAAAGTGGGAACCGATAGTGTTTGACAATTACATTTCTGGGAGAAAGAAAACGCTGATTTTTTTTCCTTGACACAGCTAGCTTTAAAAAGTGGTACTTCATTTTAAAGCACCAAAGTTGTCATTTAAATAAGAAAATGTACTTGGCTTAATGAGCTACAAAATGAAGGCATCACTGCCTTTTCAAGCATTACAGCAAAGCCAGCAGGTTCAGAGCCAGGTCACACTGCACTCCAGTTCCCAAGGAAATGGTGTTTCTACCCTCCCCAAACCTAAGCTGCCCATCACTCCTCCAGCCCGCCCTCCTTTCTGAGCCCATTCTTTCCTTGCTGAGCTGTCAGCTGCTTGCTCCCTTTCCCACCCCTGTTCTCCCTAACTGCTCCTCCTATATATGTCTGGACCGGTGCCTAAGACTTCTCAGCTGCCTGGTTAATCACTGACCAATCACCACCACACTGCTTTGGATACAGGATCCCACTAGTAAAACTGACTGGCATGTTTGTACTGGCCAGTCCCCCCCCCCCCCCCCCCCCCCCCCGCCAAAAAAAAAAAACGTCCTGCGTCACCAAAAAAGCACTGTTTAAGGGTTGAGGATCACAAACCCTCAAGGTACCCAAGAAAAGTCCTTAAATGTGAGTCACCTAATCTAATAGTAGAGGTAAGTTCAGAGATGAAATGTGACTTGCTCAAGGCTGTGCGGCTAATTAAGAGGCAGAAACTAGAATTGTGTTTCTCTTTCTACTACGCCACAAAAACCCAAGATTAGGAACGATTAAGAGTTTATAAGTAAACCAAAATAAAATACCTAGTACATAGGACGTCTTTGGGATCTCTCCAGACTTTTAGACAGAATAAAGGCAATCTTTACAATGCGAAATGCTATTCAGTTCAACAGATGCCACCAAGTACCAAGGATCCTTAGTTCTGAAATGGAATCTGTGACTATGGAGAATATGTCACTATCCGAGAGTAAGAGGTCCCACCTGCTCCACCCTTTTCAAGTTTTCAGTCACAGGGTTGCAACTTACTCATTTCACAAGACAGCTTAATCAAGTTGAAGTAGGATTAAGGAGGTACATTGAAGACAAAAGCAAAAGGCCAAAAACATTTTTTACAAGCAAATCATCCCAGCTACTGTAAAAGTTTCAGATTAATTTACAGAGTAGTGACAGAATCATGTAATTTCAGTGAAAATCAACAATAGATAGTTACATCATTAAAAAAAAAGATCAATTTGGAAATACTAAGTCAGGCAAGCATGCAAAATTCAGAATATAAAAAAACCCAAGGCCTGGTTGCCCACATACATTCCTCAGGTTAAGGTGGATTTATGCTCAACAGAGCCCAATGAACCAGAAGCTGAAAGGGACACTTCAGTGGTCAGCAGTCGCATTCTCTCATGTAACAAAGGAAAGTGAGCACACATGAACTGGCGAAGCTCACGAGGCGAGATTAGGGGTGTACATAGATCTAATTCTCGGTGCTATCTGCAACTACGTATATTTAAAATACAAGGAGATAAATACCCAGAACACATTAAGCCCACTGATTTAAACAAAACTTTGAGACTGATACACAGAAAGGGAATGGAATTAACACAGCGCAGCAGCACGCCGACATATTTACGTCTCAGAGATTAAATGGAAAGAAATGATCACTCAAAAACTTTAATGCTCAGTTTTCACAAACACAATCAAGTCTATCAAATTTCCAGATTTACAGCAAAATGTATGAGCTAAAATTTAAAAAGTGTACATTCTTCATTCTTCAGTTTCTCCTATACTTTTTTTTTTTTGCCTATCCTTCAAAACTGAGCACTGGGTATTTTTAACATAAGCCATGTCATATTTACAGTTTATGCTTCAGGAATAAACAAAATCCATGATATTTCAGTAACTCATAGCGTATTTATAAAATGAAAGGCTCTCTATCAAAATACACTTTTCACTGGGAAAAATAAATAAAATAGACAAACGGATCTACACAAAGTAAACATTAACTTTGGTAGATTTCAGTGTAGTTCATAACAAGCATATTTGCCCTTATTCCCCCAAAGCTGCTCAACTACCAAGAATTTTAAAAATACTTTTAACTAAGATTTTATTAGGTTGACATTTGTTTCTCATTCCACGTCATCTTCAGCCAAGCTCTGAGCACTTACAATTCTCTGAAAGAGAAAAAATATTTTTAAGTGTCATAAGCATTGAATCTGGATTCTAAGTTCAACATAAAATGCTCTTTGCACTCAAAGAATCCCATCTTGGTAAAGTTCACCCACTCTGCATTTAATTCAAAATGTAACACTTTACACACTGTCAGCATCCAAGAAAACAATAATCATACTACTGTCAGTCCCATTTCAAATGTCAAGTTAACAAAGGAGACAAAGCATTACATTATATGTATTTTTAATTCAGATGGGGTCTGTCACCCAGGCCGGAGTGCAGTAGCACGATCTCAGCTCACTGCATGCAACCTCTGCCTCCTGGGTTCAAGCGATTCTTCCCACCACAGCCTCCTGAGTAGCTGGGACCACAGGCCAGTGCCACCGTGGCCAGCCATCATACATAACATTAGCCAATTATGTAACTAAAACCAAAAACAATTTAAGATCTCTTTTCATTCCCTGGCAAACTTGGAACACTAATTAGTGTTTTACAGATCATTTTGTGCTCCAAGCATTTCCCCTTTTTAGCACAGAAATGCTCATAGGCTAATGAAGAAGGAATAGAGTACTCTCAAATTAGCATTCTGAAAATATTTCCAGATAACTGAGTAAAGAAGGCAGGCCATTTTTATAGAAAGGAATTAGGCTTCATAATGAATTCACAAATGTTGCAAAAGATACTGCCCTCAGGCCAATTTTCCAAAAGCACTATGCTATGCTGCCTTTCAAATAACATATGATATTAAACTGACAATGCCGGTATGAATCCTCTAGAACCCTAACCCCATTAGTCTAAATAAAAACAATTTAGACCACGTCTTTGGTTTTTCAACTCGTTCCCTCAAATCATTAGGACCTTTACTTTCTTTCCAGTCCTTCTCCAATTCAACTGAGTAAAAATCAGAAAAATTAACCAGTTACTAATGATAAAGTTCTGTAAATACTTCCTACCACCACTCACTGTTTTTATTCACACCAACTTGGGAAATCAACACATGTAATAGACACATTATTCCAAAAAGCAGAATCATTTGGGTGCCTTGAAAAGAACTCAAAATGAACAGAATTTTTAATTAACTCCTAATTTACACATAAATTAATCTTTTACAGTATATTAATGGTATTTTGCACTTTTGGGTAGGGATTTGGGGACGTCGTCGAATAGCTTCAATCTCAAAGCACACCTCAGCAGAAGCAGAGGCACTGAGCCTTCACACAAGTGAGGTCAGAGGGAATCCATGGTCTCGCGTACCCTCATGTCTAGGATACAGCTATAGGGTCATTTGTCAGATCACCTGACTGAACGCATGGTCTCCTGGAAGAGTACACAGAAAGCCAGTTGTACAAAGTAGCCAAGAGTGACCTGAATTGGGACATCTGAATATGAAGACCTGAGACTTATCACTAAGACACACACTTCCTGATCCACCTCCAGGGCACAATCGCTAAATCTGATGCCCAGTCATCTGGATGTTTGCCATTAGGGAAGAAAACGTCAAGCACTGACATCTCCCATATTGTTTTCATTATACAGATGAGTTTAATTCATCATGTTCACCGGGCTCGTTTTAAAATGTCCCTAATTATTCGATTCAAAATCCTACTCACTTTTATGTCATAACATTTCAATTCCTTACCTGACTAATTGTTGGGAGCTTAGTCAGAAGCATCTGGAACACTGGTGGTGGAAGAGTTTGCTGTAAGACCTGCAGTAACTGCTGTGGCTGTCCACACACAGCAATTGCATTCGTTAGATGGTCTACTCCCTTCTCATATTCACCTGTAAGATTGACATAAAACTAAATGTAACTTGAAAAGCCTTGGCCTTTGCCAAAAATTAACTTGACAAACTATCTTCCAAATGATGCCGACCAAAAACACTAGGCAGGTAAAATACTTGAAATAACCTACAGTGCCTTCATATCAATAAACATTATGAAACCACTAACAAGAATGAGTCAGACTACACATACTGATATGGAAGTGTTTCAAACATACATACAGAAGGGGAAATCAAGGCATAAAAAATGTCAATGCATATTACTATTTATATGCTTGGAATATTTCTGAAAGACTACATAAGACAATTGCTAACAATCGAATGGTACTTTTCTATAACAGGCAACTAGAAGACTGGAGCCTAAGGTAGAAAGAAGACCCAATTTTATATTAAGCCAACCCTCTGTACTATTTGAATGGTATCACATGGGAGGAAAACAAAATTTTAAGTGATAGTAGTAGGAAAAATGGTCATACTAATGAAGTATGACTGGACAAATAAAGTCAGATTAACACTGAGTGGGAGGGATTATTTTTTTCTCATTTATTTATGAATTTCCTTTGACACATTACTTTTGAAAGAAAAAAATACTTAGGCTTACAGCTTTTCAAAGTTAACTTAATCCAACAAATATTAAGTATCTGCTATGTGCTCCTTTTAAGACAGGCTCTCCCTCTGTCACGCAGACTGGAGTACAATGGTACAATCTTGGCTCATTGCAGCCTCAACTTCCTGGCCTCAAGTAACCCTCCCACCTCAGCCTTCCAAGTAGCTAGGACAACAGGCGTGTGCCACCACACCGGGCTAATTTTGCTTATTTATTTATTTATTTTTTTTTGTAGACATGGGGGTCTCACTATGTTGCCCAGACTGGTCTCAAACTCCTGGACTCAAGTAATCCTCCTGCCTCAGCCTCCCAATGTGCTGAAATTATAGGCATGAGCCACCACACTCAGCCCTAATTCCACTTTAAATAAAACTCCAAAAAACTGTCCCAAATTATTTGAGCAAAACTACGCTGTTAAATATTTTTCATTAAGCAGTCTTCTATATAGGAGGTTCCATGAAAGAAAATATCTTAATGTGCATTCCATAAAAATAACTTCATTACATGTATTTTTAAAAAATAGCAATATAAGCAAAGGGACAATTCTCCGCAATTCTCTCACATTTCTGCACTTCCGAGCAGAAACATTCACTGCCTTTGCTCCAAATTATCTTCTCAAGGATGTTTATACAGTGAACAACCTCAGAAAATATAATGCCTCCCTCTGGAGCAAAGGCAGGTTTGCAACATTACCTATGTGTAGGGAAAGGGGCATATGTTTACTGTTCATCATAAAAATTTAGTTTTCTTAACTTCAGGGCTCCTCTCCTATATGCAACCCACTAACATGTGCAGTGTCACCTGACCTTCTGCATTGCCTATAGGAACTGCGGCCTGGGGAAATGTCAATACCCTTGTTACTGTTATTGCAGTGACTAACAAGCTATCCTTTGTCTCTAGCCCAGTGGTCTCACGTCTTCTGCCAGCATCCACGAAACTGGGGCAGACTATACTTGTTAGCATGCAAGTAAGGTAAATCTCAGACCTGGCCAGGCACGGTGGCTCATCTGAGGTCAGGAGTTCAAGATCAGCATGGCCAACATGGTGAAATACTGCCTCTACTAAAAATACAAAAATTAGCTGGGCATAGTGGTACACACCTGTAATTAGCTACTTGGGAGGCTGAGGAATGAGAGTCGCTTGAACCTGGGAGGTGAAAGTTGCAGTGAGCCAAGATCAAGCCACTGCACTCCTGCCTGGTTGACAGAGTGAGACTCCATCTCAAATAAATAAAAAATAAAAATAAATAGTGAGACTCCGTCTCAAATAAGTAAATAAATAGCTCAGACCTTTTGCAACTCTTAATACCATTAAGATCATTTTTTACTAAGTTATTTTTATTTACCAAACAATTTTCCACGATATAAATTCACATAAGATCAGTTAACTGATCTTAAAGAATAAGAATGGGCTCACGCCTATAATCCCAGTACTTGGGAAGGCCAAGGCAGGCGGATCACTTGAGTTCAGGCACTCGAGACCAGCCTGACCAACATGGTCAAACCCCATCTCTGCCAAAAACATTAAAAAAATTAGCCAGACGTTGTGGCACATGCCTGTAGTCCCAGCTACTCAGGAGGCTGAGACAGTAGAATCACTTGAACCCGGGAGGCGGAGGCTGCAGTGAGCTGAGGTCTCACCACTGCACTCCATGTACTTCAGGTGACAGAGGAAACTCCATTTCAAAAAATAAAATAAAATAAAATAGAGAGAAAACAATTTCAAGTCAACCTTACTAATTTTTCCCCAGCAAGCTGAGGATATTAAGTATGTCTTAGGGAATATCTCTACCACCATACCCAATGCACTTGACCCTGTCAGCTGATGGCAAGCCTGGGTATCAGGACAGTCGCTCTGGTGTTCTTTCCAGGCTCTTAAATTTGGTATATGACGGTATATGTTTTTTGTTCTACCAAATGGCTGCTGTGAAAAGACTGAGAAACATTTTGGGTAAAATTCTGAGTACTGCGGGGGGTAAGTGATGGCACCTGAGTATAACTAAAGGTTCCCAAGAGCTTTCTTAACTCTTGACCGTCATCAGAAACAGGTCAATCTCCACTGCCAGTGTGAGGACTATGACTGTCCCATCTACGTATGTTTCGGGATACTCCAATTGTGTGTCATTGCAGGCACCATCTTGCTTGATGGTGGCCAATTCCTTTCCCAGGTATTGAAATGATGTAGTGATACCCATTACAAGAGATCCACCCGAGGGTTGCAGTGCTCCACTGACCGTCAGTTTAGAACTGTAGCAATCAAAAGATTGGTTAAGTCAGTTTCTGCTTGTGAATACACACCATAATTAAGTCTCTTCTAAACTTGCACTGTTAATTACCTCATCTGCAGATTTAGCAACAATGCTGAAGAGGACACACTGACACAAACTCAATTGCAGTGATCCTGTCATCTAGAGCTCTCCCTTCCTGGGCAAAGCAAATGTTGCTATAACTTTCGCTGACTGGATAGCCAGATCATAAGTGGTATATTTTGTTAATACAACAGCACCAAGATCATAAAATCCATCTATCACACAGCACAGGAAGATCAAACCCAGTGTTATATGATGCAAGGAACAGTGCAACTCAATATGAAGCACTGTTTAAGCACTGAGAGGGAATGCCCTCCCTTTCCACGATGCCTGCGTCCTCTCTCTAGGATTGCTGGAGAAACTGAGGTGTGATGCCTGTAGGACACCTGGAAATGTTTCCTGATTGGCATCTATCTTGTACTCCTCTGCAGTTACAGATTTTATGTATACAGTTTTTAAGAGATAGCATCTCACTCTGTTGCCTAGGCTGGAACACAATGGCACTATCATGGCTCAATGGAGCCTCAAACTCCCAGGTTCAAGGGATCCTACTTCAGTCTCTGAATAGCTGGGACTACAGGTGCATACTACTGCACCTGGCTTATTTTCTCATTCACTGTAGGGATGAGGGTCTCACTTCGATGCGGTCTTGAACTCCTGGCCTCCAGCAATCCTCCTGCCTCAGCTTTCCAAAGTGCTGGGGTTTACTGGCATGAGTCACTGTGCCTGTCCCTACTCACTGATTTTTAATCTTTCTGAGTCTGTCAGCAATTCGAGCACTGTGACTCCTTCGGTCAACTTAATTGAGCAATTCTATTTATATCCAAAAAGTACTTCTTGGCAAAGTGTGGACATGATAAAATGTTAGTTGCCACCATTTTAAATAAATTAAATTCTTCCCATAAAAGAAACAAAAAAAAAACAAAAAACCCATTCACACACAAGTACCCCACATCATGTAGTTCAATTCTATATAAATCTATTGATACAGCAAACAGATTTAAAAATTAATACTTAATAGCAGTTTTATTAATGATAGCAACTACTTCAAATCTACTATTGAGATTAAATTACTGAGCAAATTATGGTTCTCATGTGAGTCAATCTGATAGTTTAAATTTTATAGTTGGAACTTTAAAGATTGACAGAATAGGCTGGGCGCGGTGGCTCACGCCTATAATCCCAGCACTTTAGGAGGCCGAGGTGGGTGGATCACAAGGTCGAGAGATCGAGACCATCCTGGTCAACATGGTGAAACCCCATCTCTACTAAAAATACAAAAAAATTAGCTTGGCATGGTGGCGCGTGCCTGTAATCCCAGCTACTCAGGAGGCTGAGGCAGGAGAACTGCCTGAACCCAGGAGGCGGAGGTTGTGGTGAGCCGAGATCGCACCATTGCACTCCAGCCTGGGTAACAAGAGCGAAACTGTCTTTTTAAAAAAAAAAAAAGATTGACAGAATAATTTTTAGAAACTTCTTAACACTGTTGATGAAATAAATGAAGTACAATGTAATGAAAAGGCTAAATTCTGAATCAGATAACAAGTTGGTTCTGAAATAAGGGGTCATGAACTCACCGTGTGACCTTGATTAGGTAAATTAACCTTCTCTGGGACCTTATATTAGCCATTCCTTCCTATAAATACTGGAAAAGACCTGAAGATTAGATGAAGGAGTTGAGGAGTATATTCCCTCAGTTACTATTTATATATTGCACTATGGCTATACATTAGAAACTACTTCAGAGTAAGAGAACCAAACCTCATTTGTAAAAACTTACTGTATCTTCTGTATCATGTAATAAGAAAACCTAAAACTCCCTTAAAATATATTATGGACAACAATATCCCACAAGGAATATTTCTTTCTAGAGCCAGCCTTACACAAAATAATCTTCCAATTATTAAGTGCCTAAAAACTTGTCTTGAGATATTTGGAGTACCTTTTCAAATATCCAAATTATAAAAATAAAGCCCCTTATCATCATAAATTTACATTAGTGTGAGAAATTCTACCTAGTTCCTTAGCTTTTCAGTGACTATTACCTTGAGCTAGTAATTCTTCACCAAGTTGTATTTCTTCAAGGAAGAATTTCTGAACAGCTTCAGCATCTTTAAGGTCAGGTAACTGGAAATAAAAAATTTAATAATCGACACCACAATTATGCCAGGGGGTATAACCAGGTATCAATAAAACAACAAAAAACCAAGTCACTCATTCTAAAAAAGGATAGAAGAAATTTACTCCTGAACAACACTTGTAGAAATTAAGAGTTTATCTGCACTCAAGTGAATAAAATGAAAAAACTCGGGCTGGGTGTGGTGGCTCACGCCTGTAATCCCAACACTTTCGGAGGCTGAGGCGGGTGGATTGAGACCATCCTGGTCAATATGGTGAAACCCTGTCTCTACTAAAAATACAAAAAATTAGCTGGGCATGGTGGCGCATGCCTGTAATCCCAGCTACTCAGGAGGCTGAGGTTGCAGTGAGCCAAGATTACGCCATTGCACTCCAGCCGGGGTAACGAGAGCAAAACTCCGTCTAAAAAAAAAAAAAAGAAAAAGAAAAAGAAAGAAAGAAAAAACTCATTAAACTTGTATTTGGGTAATTCTTGGAAAGCTCTACCTCGGATGTAAAGAGAAAAGAGTGCAAAATCTATCTATACCATCTGTACACTTTAATATTTACAGTATGTTTTGACTGTCATTATTGTAGATTTTTATATAACTGTAATTAATTTGTCCTTCTAATTCAACATTATTTTATATAGGCATGCATCACCATGCCCAGCTAATTTTTAATCTTTTTGTAGAGAGAGGCTGAGGTAGTAGGATCACTTGAGCCTGAGAGGTGAAGGCACGGAGCTGTGATCACACCACTGCATGGCAGCCTGGGTGACGGAGTGAAACCCTGTCTCAAAAAACAGTCTTTTAGATGCATGTAAAATCTAGGCCGAGCGGTGGCTCATACCTGTAATCCTAGCACTTTGGAAGGCCAAGACGGGTGGATCATCTGAGGTCAGGAGTTCAAGACCGGCCTGGCCAACATTGCAAAACCCCATCTCTAGTAAAAATACAATCATTAGCCAATAAAATTACAAGTTTTATATCCGAAGTGTGTACTCCAACAAGGCAAAAATCTGTCAGGGCACTGGGATTCTGGATCAGTGGGCCTGAATAATCTCGAATAACTTTTGAAATAGTAACCCATGGTTCTTTTAAAGGAAGCTGGAGCAAGAAAAATTAAATCTTAAGTTTTTTTACTGTATCACTTTGAAGCAGCTGATTAGGAACCTTTCATCTTTTGGTGCAAATGTCTTGAAACTATTATCTTGCCCCTTAATTAACAGGAGTTCAACATCATACAATTAGCTGTTATTATGGCCAACAAAAGAAATAATGAAAGGACTGGATAATCTGCAGTGGAACTGTATTATTCACCTACTCCTAAAAATAAGCTGTATTTTATCCCACTTCTCCTCCACCCCAAATAAGCTGTATTTTAAAATAAAAAAGCAATGTCCAGTATCAACTAGCTTTTTCCAATTACATTTAATTACATTTCCAGTTACAGATTTTAAAATAATATTTCTAGAAAATATATAATTTAAACAGAAACCAGACCATTACCTTGGAAAGCCCAGCTCTCTCCTTGGCAAGCTTCTGTTTCTTTCTTCCTGTAAGATATGTAATGTTATATTTTCATTTTGTCATTATAAAAATGGAAATCAAAAGAATTCTAATTGTTGTGGCAGTCATTAATTCCACTTGCAAAACATTTCTAACTCTAGAATCTATCCCACCCTGGCCTTGTGATCTATCAAAGCCATGTGAATAGTTCCGGTCAATGAGCTGTAGGCAATGTGACACTGGACAGGGGCATTCTCCTGCCCTTTGGGGCAGAAGATCTAGCAATTCACAAGATGGAGATCACTCCAACAGCTGGACTTCTAAAGTAATTACAATAAGCAGATCAAGTCCCCTCTCCAACCAGAGGACATGTAACAGGGGCAAGAATTAGGGGACTAATATTAGGAAGTTTTATTTCTGAAATATGCCAGATTATATCTTTAGTAACTGGCATTCTTAAAAAAAAAAAAAAAATTTTGAGGGTTAAAAAAAAAAATTGTTAAACTATTTACATAGCATGTACATCATATTAGGTATTATAAGTAATCCAGAGATAATCCAAAGTGTACAGGAGGCATACGGTGGCTATATGAAAATACTACATGAGCATAGCATTAAATATGGTACCTGAGCATATCATTAAATAAAAGGTACCTGAGCACCCTCAGATTTTGGTACCCAGGAAAGTCCTGGAACTAATAATTCAAGGGAGGACTACACCTTAAGTGATAATCACTAAAACCTACCAGTGACATAGAGAGTCTTAACTACTTAGACACTAGGTTTTTGTGTGGTAAAAAAAAAAAAGAAAAAAAAAAAAAAAAAAAAGATGAGAGTCTTTACTGACATAGTTAAGAAAATGTAAGGCTCCAATACTTATTAGCTGGGCGATCTTGGGCAAATCTCTCACTCTCCCAGGATAAGGTCTGCCTCACGGTACAATGAGGAAAAGGCTACAATGAGGAAAGCCACGAAACAAGCAAATGTCCTCTGAAAACCCTAAAGCACTCTATAAATCTAAGTCTCAATGCATGAGTAAAGAGGTCTGCCCACCTGCAGACAGATGGTTAATTTACTATGGTCAAGGTACCTTTTCTTAGTCAACCCTTACACACTGGATTTAATCACACCAGCATCAGATGCCAAGTCATCTCCCATAATAGAGTGCTACCGCTGTAAGGCTTAAATACAATTCTAGACGTTTCAACAGAAAATATGCATTAAAGTTGATCTTATGTATTAATTTGAAGACTTCCAATTTTTCTAACTACCTTGCCTAAGTGTTCATCATGGCACAATTAACTGTGGGGAAAAAGAACAAAGAACATAATTCGACCCTCCATTTGCTTATGGGTTTTTGTTCTCTTAAGGCAGAAAATAATGTGTTACCAGCCAGGCGCAGTGGCTCACACCTGTAATCCCAGCACTTTGGGAGGCTGAGGTGGGCAGATCACCTGAGGTCAGGAGTTCAAGACCAGCTTGGTCAACATGGTGAAATCCTGCCTCTATTAAAATTACAAAAATTAGCCAGGCATGGTGACTCACACTTGTAGTCCCAGCTACTCGGGAGGCTGAGGCAGGAGAATCGCTTGAACCTGGGAGGCGGAGGTTGCAGTGAGTTGAGACCAATATGGAGAAACCCTGTCTCTACTAATACTAATGTTACTTAATCCTCACAATAACACTAAAGGAGGTTACTGGGCACAGTGGCTCATGCCTGTAATCCTAGCACTCTGGAAGTCCACGTCTGGTGGATAACAAGGTCAGGAGTTCGAGGCCAGCCTGGCCAACATAGCAAAACTCTGCCTCTACTAAAAGTACAAAAATTAGCTGGGCATGGTGGCATGCACCTGTAGTCTCAGCTACTTGGGAGGCTGAGGCAGGAGAATAGCTTGAACCCGGGAGGTGGAGGTTGCAGGGAGTCAAGATCGCATCACTGCACTCCAGCTTGGGTGACAGAGTGAGACTTCATCCCAAAAAAAAAGAAAAAAAAAAGAGAGACCAGCCTGGTCACCATGGTGAAACCCTATCTCTACTAAAAATACAAAAAATTAGCCGGGTGTGGTGACATGTACCTATAGTCCCAGCTACTCAGGAGGCTGAGGCAGGTGAATAGTTTGAACCTGGAAGACAGAGGTTGCAGTGAGCTGAGATCACACCACTGCACTCCAGCCTGGGCGACAGAGCGAGACTCTGTCTCAAAAAAACAAACAAAAAAACCCCCAGCACTTCAGAAATGAACATGCCAAGTTTGTAGGATCAACACTGAGAAACACAATTTACTAAACCAGAATTAAGGGAAAATGACAAAACTGATCATGATGAAACAAATTCCTTCTCAGAGGAAATTTAAAAAAGAAAACACAAAAAAAACTGATCATGAAACCCAGGAAAGTGAAATTTAGTCATAAGTTGTGTGTGTGTGTGTGTGTGTGTGTATAAAATTGCATGACTGGCTGATTATACATATATTCATATTCTGGAGACAGAATCTTGCTCTGTCCCCACTGGGAGGTGGAGTGGTGCAATCTCTGCTCACTGCAGCCTATGCCTTTCTCGTTCCAACAATTCTGCCTCAGCCTCCCAAGCAGCTGGGACTACAGGCACATACCACCACGCCCAGCTAATTTTTGTATTTTTAGCGGAGATGGGATTTTGCCTCGCTGGCCTCCAACTCCTGACACCTCAGGTGATCCGCCTGCCTCGGCCTCCCAAAGTGTTGAGATTACAGGCGTGAGCCACCATGCAGAGCCGCAATTACCATTAAACAGGCTGCGAAATTAAATAAATTTTACTTCATAACAAAAACATCAAACAGCAAAATTATTCTACTCATAAAAAAATCTCTAGCATTCATCAATTACCATGTGTAAGGAACAGTACTAAAACTATGCAACAACAGAATCAGATGTTTCATTCTGAGTACTAGTAAGATCACCGCTGGAGTAACTGCCCACACATGGCTACTGAACACTTGAAATGACTTGGTATAGCTGAATTAAATAACCACAGTTACTTAAGTAAACAACAATCCCTTCTTTGTACTTTCTGGGCTTTAGTAACTTACGTAACAATTTTAATTTCAAAAACTGCTTTGGCTGAACAATCAAGCTATAAAAATATTTCTCATTGCAATAAATTTGCTCTTCAGTGATGCGAATGAAGATTCTCCCCAAATTCAAGGTGGATCACAGCGGTTTTCATGACACGATTCCCCTCTGGTAGACCTCTCTTCAAAGATGTCGCAGGTATGAAATAAGACTGAGCCACGGGAGAAGCGCAGCCCTTTGGACTCCCCTGCAATTTCTGTAGCATTCACTCATAACTTGGAAGCACCCTAGAGCGAAGCTACCAAGAGGGTTTAAGAATGCAACAATGGGCGGGGTGCGGTGGCACACGCCTGTAATCCCACCACTTTGGAGGCCGAGGCGAGCGGATCATCTGAAGTCAGGACTTCCAGACCAGCCTCACGACTCCGTCTCTACTAAATACAAAAAAATTAGCCGGGCGTGGTGGCGGCCGCCTGTAATCCCAGCTACTTGGGAGGCTGAGGCATGAAAATCGCTTGAACCCGGGAGGCGGAGGTGGCAGTGAGCCGAGATCGCGCCACTGCACTCCAGCCTGAGCGACAGAGCAAGACTACGGTTTTTTTGTTTGTTTGTTTTTTAAAAAAAAAAAGGTGCAACAATGATACCGCACTGAGCATGCGGATTTAGCCTCAGGCTAAAATCCGCAACAAAATGCACTTTTGAGTTAGGAGTAGAGGCTTAAAAAGATGAACGACAAAGAGAGACAACCTCCTCCCCACGCTACACACACCGAAACTGTAACACAAACTAGAGTGCATATGCACGCCTCAAGTGTTTGGGGAAAACAAAATGGGAAAAATCCTTCCTCCAAAATGGAGGGAATTCCTGCGGGGCCCTGGAGCCCAGGGAGCGGCGCAGCCAGCGCCATCTCCTCTTCCCAGCCGCACCATGCGGTCACCCTGCGTGACCCACAGGCAGGTGGGCGGTAAGAACCCCTTGTTTTTCAAGTTGGCACAACCCTCCTATGGAGGGCCGCGGCCGGAGGCAGAGGGCCCGGCCAGGGGAGAGGGGACCCACTCACGTTCTCGAAGCCTGTTCTTAAAGTTGGGGTCACTTCGTCTTTTGCGGTCGAAGTAGATGCAGTACCCGATAAAAAGGGCCCCACATACACCGGCGGCGATGGCACTGTTCCGACCCACCATCTTCTCTACAACGCGGAGCGTGTGCGATGGCGGCAGGGACCGCGAAGGAGCCGTGGGCCACAAACCCTCAGAACGGAGGGCGCAGCTCACACCCGACGCCCGCGGGCCAGGGACTCCGAAAGGCCCAGCACACGCCACTTCCGGTCCCAATCAAGTAAGGACCCCGAGGTCGTCCGCGGCAGTGCCTGAGCAGAGGCCCCAAGCGCGGCTCCTGCGCCTGCGCAATGGGCCACGCCAGCGTCTCCCCGGCGCCGCTGGGTATGCGCTTTGGAATCGGGAATATTTGCACGTGACCGCGCACTTGTCTTCAGACGCGCTAACCGTGCTGTAAGGAGACGGGCGCGTCGCTGGCGTGCACGTACTCACAAGACTAGCTGACAGAATTGTTTCTGACAAAGATCCAGCGTCCCAGACTGCGAATGCTTCATCTTGTATAACACAGTCAGGCTGTCACTTGTTTAAACTGTACTTGCTTTTCAAGGCGCCACAAGCCATTGTACGTAGTGGTTCCATTTCAAAAGAAAGTTACAGAATAGCCTCATTTTATGATGACCGGAATAAAATTAAACGGAATAATTTTTTGAAAAATATACAGAAGAAATTGAAGGAAAAAATAGAAAACATGAATTGTGTTACAGCCACATGAAAACATATACGTGATCAGGCCAGGCACAGTGGTTCACATCTGTAATCTCAGCACTTTGGGAGACTGAGGCGGGCAGATCACTCAAGGCCAGGAGTTCGAGATCAGCCTGGGCAACATGGTGAAACCCGTCTTTACTAAAAATACAAAAATTAGCTGGCCATGGTGGCGGGCGCCTGTAATCTCAGGTACTCTGGAGGCTGAGGCCGGAGAATCGCTTGAACCAGGGGGTGGAGTTTGCAGTGAGCCAAGATCGCACCACTGCACTTCAGCCTTGGTAACAGACCGAGACTGTTTGAAATATATATGTACATATATATAATATTATATATATGTACATATATGTATATAGAGGATACATATATATGTACATGTATATATATGTATAGATCAAAGTTAAGACAGTCTGACAAAACCGTGTATATATTATATATACATATACATATATGTGTGACATGGTAAAAAGCCCCATAAAACTGCATACCTCAACCATACCTCAGCTTTCTGTTGAAACTGCTCTCTATAACCCAAATGTGAATAAGTAATTAAGGACTATAATCGCCACCTTACCCAGACAATGTGTAAACAAATGCTAATCTTGACTTTTGTGAATCACTTAAGAAATAACCAGAATAGGCCGGGCGCGGTGGCTCACACCTATAATCTCAGCACTTTGGGAGCCCGAGGCAGGTGGATCACGAGGTCAAGAGATCGAGACCATCCTGGTCAACATGGTGAAGCCCCGTCTCTACTAAAAATACAAAAAAAAAATTAGCTGGGCATGGTGGCGCTTGCCTGTAATCCCAGCTACTCAGGAGGCTGAGGCAGGAGAATTGCCTGAACCCAGGAGGCGGAGGTTGCGGTGAGCCGAGATGATTGCACCATTGCACTCCAGCCTGGGTAACAAGAGCGAAACTCCGTCTCAAAAAAAAAAAAAAAAAGAAAAAGAAATAACCAGAATATCAAAAAGGCCTCTGGCCCTCGGAATGTCCGGAGGCCCTCACCCCATCTTCTCCCAGGAATCCACTGGAATGTCCGGAACCCCCATCACCACCAGCCCCCGCCCCACACCCTCACTCCCAAGGTGATTTTTACGGGTATAAAGGGTCTTCACACGCTCCTTTCATGGCCACGGGCTGGAGAGACTCGAGTCCTCCGTGGCCGCCAGCAATAAAGACCCTGCAATTTGGCATACTTTTGTCTTGGTGTTGACTTTCTATGCTCGGGCAAATACAACATATGTATATATGTGATATATATATCAAAGTTAAGATATTCTGACAAGGAAAACCGTGGGCAGAAAACAGGCATTAAACAGACACTAAGTTGAGGGGTAAAGAAGTCAAGCACCGGCCGCGCGCGGTGGCTCAAGCCTGTAATCCCAGCACTTTGGGAGGCTGAGACGGGTGGATCACGAGGTCAAGAGATCGAGACCACCCTGGTCAACATGGTGAAACCCCCGTCTCTACTAAAAATACAAAAAATTAGCTGGGCATGGTGGTGCATGCCTGTAATCCCGGCTACTCAGGAGGCTGAGGCAGGAGAATTGCCTGAACCCAGGAGGCGGAGGTTGCGGTGAGCCGAGATCGCGCCATTGCACTCCAGCCTGGGTAACATGAGTGAAACTCCGTCTCAAAAAAAAATAAAAAAGAGAAGTCAAGCACCAGTGTCAAAGGCATTGGAACCAGTTACTTTACCTTGAATAGGGACTGAGTAAAATGAGCTGAGACCCACTGGGGCACATTCGCAGGAAGTTTGGCATTCTTGATCACAGGATATTTACAGGGAAGGGAACAAGTTAATAATGTTTACCTAGCAGACCCAGGAAACGTCCTGATGTCCCGTTATCTTAACAAAAGAATTCTTAATTTTCGCTTTAAGGATAGTATCGATTCTTGCAGTAGACAGTAGTTACACAGAATTAACAGTCCTTTGACAAAGACGGGATGCAGTGTCTCACACCTGTAATCCCAGCAATTTGGGAGGCCCAGATGGGCGGAGAGCTTGAGCCCAAGAGTTCAACACCAGCCTGGGCAACATGGAGAGACCCTTTCTCTACAAAATTAGCCAGGTGTGGTGGCATGCTCCTGTGGTCCCAACTACACAGGGGATGAGGGGGGCGAATCCCTTGATTCCAGGAGGTCGAGGCTGCAGTGAGTTATGATTGCACCACTACACTCCAAGCTGGGTGACAGAGTGAAAGAGACCTTGTCTCAAAACAAACACAAAAAAACAATCCTTTGTCACAAGTTCTTGTAGTAGCACATATGTTCCCCATTCTTTTTTTACTGAGTTATAAACAAGAATTGTACCTAAGGTGGACATGTTCCTTCTCTTGCTTTTGGGTATGCTCCACTCTATGAAGTAGCCCGTCTTTCACTTTTGTTTTTTTATTTTTTATTTTTTTTATTTTTATTTTTTTGAGATGGAGTTTCACTCATGTTACCCAGGCTGGAGTGCAATGGCGCGATCTCGGCTCACCGCAACCTCCGCCTCCTGGGTTCAGGCAATTCTCCTGCCTCAGCCTCCTGAGTAGCTGGGATTACAGGCACGCACCACCATGCCCAGCTAATTTTTTGTATTTTTAGTAGAGACGGGGTTTCACCGTGTTGACCAGGATGGTCTCGATCTCTTGACCTCGTGATCCACCCGCCTCGGCCTCCCAAAGTGCTACAGGCTTGAGCCACCGCGCCTGGCCATCACTTTTGTTTTTTTAGACGGAGTCTTGCTCTGTCACCCAGGCTGGAGTGCAGTGGTGCTATCTCAGCTCACCGTAACCTCTGCCTCCCAAGTTCAAGCGATTCTCCTGCCTCAGCCTCCTGAGTGGCTGGCATTACAGTCACGCACCACCACACCCTGCTGATTTTTGTATTTTTTAGTAGAGACGGGGTTTCACCATATTGATCAGGTTGGACTCAAACTCATGACCTCATGATCTGCCCGCCTCGGCCTTCCAAAGTGCTGGGATTACAGGCGTGAGCCACCACACCAGGCCTTTTTTGTTTGAGACGGAGCCTTACTCTGTCACCCAGGCTAGAGTGCAGTGGCACAATCTCAGCTCACTACGACCTCTGTCTCCTGGGTTCAAACGATTCCCCTGCATCAGCCTCCCCAGTAGCTGGGATTACAGGTTCGTGCCACCACACCTGGCTAATTCTTGTATTTTTAGTGGAGGCAGGGTTTGACCATATTGGCCAGGCTGGTCTTGAACTCTTGACCTCTGGTGATCTACCTGCCTCAGCCTCCCAAAGTGTTGGGATTACAGATGTGAGCCACCATGCCCAGCCTTCTTTACTTTTTTAAAATGAACTTGTTTTCACTTTACTCTGTGGACTGGCCCCAAATTCTTTTTTAGGCAAGAATTGCCTAAAAACCTGATGGAGCTACCCCTCAGGGAGTGCCAGTCTGTTGAGGTCTGGATCCAGACCCTTTTCTAGTAACAGCAGGTTGTGTAATAAAGGATTTGGCTGGCCTTTGTCCCCAGTTCCTGAGAGCTCTAACCCATTAGAATTGACTGGTTCTTCATTCCTATAATACTGGCGCACTGGGAGGATCGCTTGAGTCCAACAATTTGAGACCAGCCTGGGCAACAAAGTGAGATACTGAAGCGACGTCATTTGGGAAATACCCAAGGTTCGTTTCCTCATGCCAAGGAAATCAAGAACACAGGCACATGTGGAGTAAGGTTAAGAGCAGAGGTTTAATAGGCACAAGAAAGAAAAGGGAGACCCAGATGTGGTGGCTCATGCCTGCAGTCCCAGCACCTTGGGGGGCCAAGGCAGGTGGATCACCTTAAGTTAGGAGTTCCGGACCAGCCTGGCCAACGTGGTAAAACCCCGTCTCTACTAAAAATGCAAAAAATTAGCTGGGCATGGTGGCAGGTGCCTGTAATCCCTGCTACTCAGCAGGCTGAGGCAGGAGAAGCGCTTGAACCTGGGAGGTGGAGGTTGCCGTGACCTGAGATCGCACCACTGCACTCCAGCCTGGGCAACAAGAGCACAACTCTGTCTCAAAAAAAAGACAAACCCTTCAAAGGTAAAGGTAGTATTACAATGTGAATAAACTGAGAATGCGGAAGTCTCCACATTTCATATATACCATCCGTAAAAAATTATACAACTCAACACATGACTAGGAGATAATAGCATTTTTATTAGCAACTCAGCAGGAAAAGAAAAAGCAGCTCCTGGTTATTTCTGTTTCCTCTGTTTCTTAGTGCATCTACTTTTCTTCTGTCCTTTCTTCTTCTTTTTAATGAGAACAGCTTTCTCTCCAATAAATAAGCTTTTAGAATGTCCTTCTGCATTTTTAGAAGTAAAATTAAGTCCCTGCTTAGGTTTACCGATATTCTTTAATCGTGGATTTGGATTTTGTTGTTTTAACTTTTCTTTATTAACAGAACGCATGACTCTGAGTTTTCTTCCCATTAGTTCAGAATTATTTAATTTCAGAGCAAGATGAACAGAATCTGTATTCTGCAAATAAAAAGAAAACGCAATACATTAATTTCTACCAGAAACCCATCTGCAAAGAAACCAGTGAAGTGTGACTTTAACTGATGAGAACGACTTTCAAGTTTGCACAGATAATTCCCATCCAATCCCAGGTGTATCAGCTGCCATGCTCCAAGTCTCCC